CCAGCACCACCCCCCTCCCCTGCTCGAGGAGGATCGCCCCTGTGCAAACCACCCTGTTTGTCTAACCTCACACCATCTGTCCTGACCCACGAGCCAAGATGTAACTCCCCAAGGTGCCGGTCAAAGTAAGGGGGATCTCGGGGGCTTGATGCATGTTGATACATGGTCCAGAGCTGCCAGGTGGGGGGGCTTCTCAGTGCGTAGTGGCGCATCCTGTGCTTGTTCCACGTGGTGCAGGGGATCAGATACCTGGCAAGAAGTTGGGAGCGTGTAACTTGGGAAAGTGGGTGATAGGGTGCAGTGCCCTTTCCTGTAGAGAGGTTCGTGGGCACAGGGCTGCCATTTATGTGGGCAAGGACATCATTTTCCCCCCACTCCAAGAGCTGGACACTCCTGAGAGCTCAGCCTGGGAATTTTCCGTACAGCACTGGTCTCAGACCCAACGGGACATGCTTTCCTGAGTACGGGCCAGAAGCAGAATCTGCTGGGAATGGCTTTTTTGGGAATGGGCTTTTTATGTGCATCTGTATGGGGTAGGGTGCAACAGAGCAAGAAGGGAAAGGTTTATCTTAAGACTGGCGATGAGTTTAATTGGATAAGTGAGGGACGTGAGGCAGGAGCAGACTGAGTGGACGTGACTTGGAAGGGTGGATATCGAATTGGGCATGGGATTTATGAGAAATAGACTGAAGATGATAGGGGACTATTTCTCTAGGAGCAGGGCACTTTACCCAAGCACCAGCTCTGGCAGAAGTGGGCAGTAATCTGTTCTTCATCATGACGTGTATCCAGGGGACTGCTTTTTACTACTAGTGTGTGGCTTGTGTGAGTTGCATAAGAAGGTGCTTATCTTGGGGAAGGGGTGGGTGGTTCAGTTACCTGATCAAAGTTTCAGTTATGTGGCAGACTCTTGAAGAAGATGTGTGTGCAAGGATGAAAGTATTTTGCATTTTTTCCACTAAGGTTAATGACACGTGATACGTTTGCTATTTGGAGGAGAAAGGGAAGGGTGAATTTACCTGTTTAAACGTTTTATGGAGCCACGTTGTTATATTGGGGTGTAAGTGAAAATGGATTGGGGGGAACTTAAGAACTGTTACTGTTCAAATATATTCAGGAAGAATAGAGGTCTGAGTTGAAACTTGCATTACTGGGCTCTTACCTTGTTCCTTTAAAATCTGTGGCATAATAGAATGCTGTTCTTTAAGTTAACATATTAAAAATAAAGTGAATTTTTTTAGTAGTTGCTTAAGACGAGAACAATTTCCTATTAGAGGCTGTTCTTAATGCAAGTTCCGTTGTATATCCTTTGGAGGAGAACACTATGAATGATTCTTTTCTAAGACTTCCCTTTTAACATCTACTCCTTAGTTACAACAAACCCTGTTTAGGTTTTCAGGGAAGCTTGTTGGGGATGTGTAGTAGAACTGTGCACTGTGCAAATGCTTGTTGCTTCTGAACAGTGAAAGGTAGTGCTGTACTTAACTATAAGTGGCGGTGTTTTTCTTCTGAGCAGTTATCAGTCCATGCCTGCAATGCAAGTGTGGTGAAAAGGTTTTAATAGAAAGTGTAAATGCAGAGAAGAAAAACTTGTTGCCTGTTGGATAGTTCCTAGAAGTGGCCACTTTGCTTCCATACTGAAGTAGTCAGAAGTAGAAAATGGCCTCACTCTCCTTTGGTGTTCTCTGGCAGTGGCAAAGCCATTCTCTATATTTTCCCCACTTTGAAAATTATTACGCTGTTGTTCTCAGCAAGCTGCCTGTTTTAGTTTTAAATAGTCCTCTCAAAAGTGAGTCATTCAAAACTTCTCCATTATCTCTTGATGTGAGGGGAAAAATGTTAGAGGGAAGAATTGTTTCATATTTGTTCAGTTGCCTACACTGAATGTGCTGTGTCTCTTGGCTGAAGATTGCTTGTGACAGTGGACCTCTGGATTACTGTTTCTACAGGGAAAATACACTGCTTTTTGTAATAATATTCTTTGTAAGTATTAGCATTACTAGTAGTCTTTGTAATGTTCTTTAAGTATGGAAGAGATGGGCTGTATGGCAAAAGATGTCTAAAGAATCTCTTGGAAAATGCTTCTTAAAAATACTGGGTTTGTCTACATGTTCATTAATGTGCTTTTGCTAATGCACTTTAAATTTAGAACTTCTGTTTTGAGGTACTAGGAAAAGGTGCATTAGCCTATTTTAATGTGTATTAGCAAAAGTGCACAGTTTTTTTGTGTGATGCTTTAATGTGTATTAAAATAGGCTAATGTGCATTAAAGTGCACGTGTAGACACACTCACTGAGTGGTAAAGGGTGAAGATGGCAGAACTAATAACTATTCTACATGTTCCTCTACATTCAGAAGAAAGCAGGTCCAAGAGGAGGAGGAATCTGAAAAGCAAAAATGAAAGGTATTGATGTAAAAAAGAATGGATGAGAGATCTTCTTGTTTCATGTACTTTGGCTTGGCAGAGAAGTTGAATTACCTCTTGTTCTTTTGTGCAGACTAATGTTGTTTCCATGTGATAGCAATCATATAAAGGCTAAGTGCACAGTCCCTTGGCTGCCAGTGCAGCTTTGTGCAGTGTGCTGTCAACTGAGTCTTTAGTTAATGATTTGACTGCCCTCCTGTATGCTTCTCCTGTTTGTTTTTGGGCAAGGTGTTTCTGAGGTTTTAATCGATACCTGTATTGCCCAATAGGTTAGTGTGGTTCATAACACATACTAACAAATCAGCGCCTTTTTTCAGAGGTGATGAGAATCCATAGCTAGCATTGATGTAATTCAGTTATGGGTCCTCGCCAGCTTTGAAAATCTTTCTGTTCTGTTACTAAGAAATTCATGTTACCCAGTTAAATTGTTAGATGGTTCATCTGCCTATGGTACAGTACATACTGGTATGTGAAGTTTTCAGTCTGTCATATTTTATGTAGAAAGGTCAATAGCCAGGATTATAATGTCAGAGTCATTTGCTCTCAACCCTCTGTTTAGTCCAATAGAGTTTTTTTTATGCATGGAGATGACACCACTTCTCACCAGAAAAACCAACTCCATTTTAGTAAGAAACAAGTTTAGGGAGAATCTGGCTGTGTTGATTTATAGTACTGTTAGCAGCAGTGCTGGCACTATGTCCCCTACAGCAAGGAGCCAATTTGGAGTTCTTGCAGAAACAGACTTTTGGTGGATCACGAAGGCCAGCTATGAGTTGCCGCAAGGGTAGTTCTGTGAATGCAGGTTAAAAAAAAAAAAATAGCAGCAGATTTTCTACCCAAATACTACCAAACTATTATTTAGAAGGAAATAAAGCTAGAAACTTAGCTTTTAAAAATGAAAGTTGGGATTTGGTACAGACATTTCTAGGTCATTTAAAGTGGTGGGAAGATTGGTAGGGGTCTGGTTTTAAGTTATCAAAGCAGACTATGGTTTATAGAGGTAACAGTGTAATCTTGACATACATTAAAATCCTCCGTATGATGACAGTTAATTTACAAATGAGTGGAGCTTTCCAGAAAAAAATGCTTTTTCCCCTTTCCTGACTTCCAGTTGGTAATAAGTATGGGTTGTATGACTGAAGGTTCTTGGAGGAATAGTGTTTACACACAAACATGTTTCTCTTTTGTTTATAATATATTTCGTTTATCAGATCAGAGCTAGGCTAGCTCCCCAACAGTAAACACGTGTTCAGGGGGTTTATTTACTTTCTGAAGAACAAGAGGGTCTCTGTTAAGCTGTACAAGGAGGTAAACGTGACACTTGTTTTGGTTCCTTATAATTTGCTTGTCTAATAGCCTGAACACAGGATGTAACGTGCCTTTATGTGGAGTGAAACCCTCCTTTACAGGTTAAGAATATAAATGCTTTGTTTATCTGTTTTGTTTTGTTTTCCTGGCCACCCTTATCCTACCAACTGCCAGACCAAGGAAAGGTACAATATAAGTAGCAAGTAATATACTTTCTAGGGAGGAATCCACTTGTACAGCACATTTGTGTGTGGATGGAGGGAAAGAGTAACAGATGGCTTGAGTAAAAAATTCTTTTTTAACTTCTAAGATGGGTTAGCAACCCCGGGCACGCGTGCCAAGCATGTCACGCAAGGCCATTTTGCTTGGCACACCACCACAAGCCCAGGCTCTAAGCAGCTACTGCCAGCCATGAAGCCCAGGATGCTTCCAGCAGGTGGCTGGGAGGCTGCAAGCCCTGCTGCAAGCAGACCAGGCTCCCTGGGCCAGCTGCAGGTGGGAGGCTGCAAACAGCTGCTCTGGGCTCCAGCATGTCGGCACTCCGGCACCTTTCAAGGTAGACATTGTGGCTTTTTCAGCACTCCAGCCAAAAAACGTTCCCTACCCCTGTTCTAAGAAGTTGTTTTAAACTGTGCAGGACTTGGAGAAGCAGGGCATACTTTGCTGCCTGGCCAAAGTGATAGGTTTCTGGTTTCTTAGTCTAAGTGATGTATTTTTAAAATATTGTGTTTAGCGTAAGTAATCACAGTGTTTGGAATACCTTCTAGTACATTAAGGTTTCTTTAACAGAATAAATCTAGTAGGTATTATGAGTTTAAAATCTTATCTTGGAAGATTTGAAGCATTAATAAGCAGAGCTTTATTATGCGGTCTTCTAGTTGGTCTGTGATAACAGCTGAAAAAAAACAGACAACTGTAAATACCAGTGTGTATGTTTACAATGCGCACCTTGAAATCCAAAGGTCTAGTGCGTTTGAATGTTTCTTGTAACTCTTTTTCCCAGAACTATCTTAAATATCTGATTTAATGGCTGCAGAGTTATTATCAGTACTAGCCTCTGCAAGTGTCCCCATGTATAAATAGTGGGTGTATCATGTAACCTTAGTCATAGTGTAGTCAGTAAAACATGATGGAAGTAATTTGAGCCATTTAAATCGACAGTAAAGAAACAGATTTCAAACATGGAAAGAGGTGCCTGTGAACATTCTTGCTTCACATTTGTTTTTCTTCTTATTGAAAGATGTATCTTGACTTTTTTTTTTTTAAGAATATATTTGGTGCTTGGAAAAGGTGCCAGACCATCCTGTTTTGGAAGCTGTAGATCACTTCATCAATAATATGAATGGTATTGTATGAAATTGAGCTGTGTTATTCTAAAACATTCTTTTATAGTGTCTTCAGTTGACATTGCCTAGCAGACGTAGATAAGATATCTTTGTTTCTTCAAGGAGCTATCTTTTTGGTATGTCAAGACACATCTTCAAGTATTCATAGAATCATAGAAGTAGGGTTGGAAGGGACCTTATAGATCTTCAAGTCCGACCCCCTGCCAGGGCAGGAGAAAAAAAAAAACTGGGCTCAAATGATCCCAGCTAGGTAGGCATCAAGCCTCCTCTTAAAGACCC